TTTACCACTATATCTCAAATTCCCATATATCGATAATCGGTTAGATATATTCGTTACACAGTGTGGTAGTGATACGGGATCATTATATTCCATGTGGGCGAAAGCGAACAACAACAACAACTCGTTACCGTAAAGCATACAGTATGTGTTGTGAAGATATGGTTAGAAATATATACGACATAACTAGCTCGTTATTATGCCTATACTATGTGTTGTGCGGGCATGGATAGAATTATTGTAATGTATTTATTTACAGGCAACATGAGACGATCGTTGGGGCTCCTTATGAATGGTTTTGCATGGTTTAAATGGCTTATGAATGTTTTTGTCTTAGAATATTACTGGATTTTGTGGTGAAGCCTACAATCGGAATCAAATATTATAATCTACATAATTTCCCTTTTTCAAAAAGAGCTAACATTACAATATGATAATGATTAAATAAATGAGTGATTATGTAAAAACATACGTCAATTTAGGCCGAAAATACTGTATCTTTACTCGAAATAATGAAACTTTACTATGCAAGCCATGTAGTATATATATTATAACAACATGAGGATGAAGAATAAATATCACGAATTTGACCCCTACTGGACTGGCGTTGTGGGCGTTCATCTCTCTCGTTCACTCACATACATTCCTGTCCCAAGTAAAGAGCCTCTGGCCTTTGTTAGTCTTTTTTGTTTTTAATTTTAGTTCATTTATATGTTTTGGAGTTTAGTGTGACGTCCATTTTCATTGAACTAGTACACATTTTTGTTTTGGGGGCCAGCTGAAGCCCGCCTCCGTGTGCCATACTTTCTCGCTGTGTTGAAGACCCATTGGTGGCCTTCGGCTGTTTTCTGCTATTTGGCCGGGTTGTTGTCTCTTTGACACATTCCCCATTTCCATTCTCAATTTTATTAAGTTTACTCACACACTTTTCTTTTAGCCCATTCGCTCACTCTCTCGCACGCTCACCAACTCTTTTGCTCACTCTCTTAATCACTCACTGACACACCCTCTCGTACATTATTTAGTTCACTCACAATACTTTGTTTTCTTCGATCACTCTCTCGTCCGTAAACTCACTTGTTCGCTCACTCTCTCGACCGCCCACACACTCGTTTGCGCACTCTCTAGTACATTCGCTTACTCGTTCGCTCACTCTCTCGTATACTCGCTTACTCGTTTGATCACTCTTGTGTAAATTCTCTAGTTCACTCGCACACACTTTGTTTCGCTCATTCTCTCGTCCCATCACTAACTCGTACGCTCACTCTCTCGTACACTCACTCACTCACTCTCTCTCTTTCCCGTACTTTCTCTAGTTTATTCACAGACACTTACTTCTTCGCTCACTCCCTCGCCCACTCACTTGTTAGCTTAGTCTGTTGAGTCACTCACACACACTTCCTCTCCTTCACTCACTCACACACACCCTTTACTCGTTTACTCATTCACTCTCTCTCGTTCACTCACACTCACAGTTACACTCTCACCTATTCACTTTCACTCACTTTCGTTCATGGCTCGCATTCGTATAGTTTAGTCCATGTCTCTCTCTCGTCCATTTTCATTGAACTAGTACACATTTTTGTTTGGGGGCCAGCTGAAGCCCGCCTCCGTGTGCCATACTTTCTCGCTGTGTTGAAGACCCATTGGTGGCCTTCGGCTGTTTTCTGCTATTTGGTCGGGTTGTTGTCTCTTTGACACATTCCCTATTTCCATACTCAATTTTATTAAGTTTACTCACACACTTTCCTTTTTCGCCCATTCGCTCACTCTCTCGCACGCTCACCAACTCTTTTGCTCACTCTCTTAATCACTCACTCACACACCCTCTCGTACATTCTCTAGTTCACTCACAATACTTTTTTTTCTTCGATCACTCTCTCGTCCGTAAACTCACTTGTTCGCTCACTCTCTCGACCGCCCACACACTCGTTTGCGCACTCTCTTGTACACTCGCGCACTCGTTCGCTCACTCTCTCGTATACTCGCTTACTCGTTTGATCACTCTTGTGTAAATTCTCTAATTCACTCGCACACACTTTGTTTTACTCATTCTCTCGTCCCATCACTAGCTCGTACGCTCACTCTTTCGTACACTCACTCACTCACTCACTCACTCTCTCTTTCCCGTACTTTCTCTAGTTTATTCACAGACACTTACTTCTTTGCTAACTCCCTCGCCCACTCACTTGTTAGCTTAGTCTGTTGAGTCACTCACACACACACTTCATCTCGTTCACTAACTCACACACACACTCTTTTCCTCGTTTACTCATTCACTCTCTCTCGTTCACTCACACTCACAGTTACACTCTCACCTATTCACTTTCACTCACTTTCGCTCATGGCTCGCATTCGTATAGTTTAGTCCATGTCTCTCTCTCGTTTACCTACTCAATCAATAAATCTCTGTCAGGTTTACTCAATCACTTCTATCCTTTAACGTCTCCCAGTGAATTAAACATGGGGAAACGATTGATACTCATACCTTCAGTTACCTTCATTGTACAAGGTTTGTCAATAAAAATAAGTAGACATTTTATAACAATGTAAAGAAGATATTTTGTGGTATTTTTACATTTTATAATTGGCAATTCTATTTAAAAAAAAGAATCGATTTTATTGTGTTTCCATTCGCTTTTACTTCTTTAGTTCAGTTAGCTTTATATTGTTTTCTTAATTAGTCTCCTTAAAAGATATGTATCGTGATGAAATAAAGAGTGCTACTGTGATTCCTTTATTATAAACGTAACCATATATGGTAAAGATAGTTTAAACCAGTTCATCTTTAATCACTCATTAAGCGTTATAATACACGTATAAACATAACCATTGACGCAATATAAAACGGATAAGACTTCTATTTGGAACTCCGTCAAAACGATGTTGGTTCATTTTTTCTTTTTCTGACAGATATATATCTTTTAAATCACTGCAAGTATTGAACAACACCGCAATCTGCCCAAAGTACCAGTAAGTCGCTCAATAGAAAGTAACGACAAACACAACAAACAAAACAATAAAAAAAACATAAACCAAGACTATATATAGCCCTTCTCGTTTCCGTCACAAAATCATGAAAATATGGGATAATACTCAGTCTGATATTCATTTTCAACATATCAGAACACCGTCTCAGACGCCCATTATCGTCTAATAAACATGTAAACCATATAATACACAGCTACTTTAGTACTAGCAATCTTGATGTACATCTGCTTTGGTGCATATAAAGTGACTGTTCATCGGTTAATATGTAGATGTAGATTTTTCAAGGTCCATATTGCCTGTACATTTGTAAAGATAAACATGTATATTATCTATGCATATGTACAGTTCATATACATTTTCACATAATACTATGTATATTGTATATGCATATCAGCTTTACGGATATACAGTTTATATACATTTTCACATATTAATACTATGTATATTGTATATGCATATCAGCTTTACGGATATACAGTTTATATGCATACATTTTCACATAATACTATGTATATTGTATATGCATATCAGCTTTACGGATATACAGTTTATATGCATACATTTTCACATAATACTATGTATATTGTATATGCATATCAGCTTTACGGATATACAGTTTATATGCATACATTTTCACATAATACTATGTATATTGTATATGCATATCAGCTTTACGGATATACAGTTTATATGCATCTACATCAAGATTGCTTGTTTTTAATTTTTAATTTAGTAATATTTTATTGCATTAACCAAGCAATAGGATTGGACACAAGTTATTACAACTTATATTAAGTCCTCTCCTTACATATACAATACACATATATGATGACAGCAAACACAAACATAATATAGCGACAGTTATAGAAAATAAAGGAAGGAGTCACACATTGGCATGGCAACAAAAAAAGCAAATAGGACAGAAAGAAAAAAGAAAGCTGCTGACTTAAAACGATTGCTTGTATTACAGTAGAGTGTACTTCTTGCGTAATCCCGCTCCCCCCCCCCCCCCAGCCTCTAGGTTCAAATCCCCTGAGGTACAAATGTTCTCATAATAATAAATTGCTTCGCCTCAGATTTCGTTTATATTCTATATGCCATTTTCGGCTTTTATTTTATACCATTATAGTTTTTCTCGCCACTTTTTCTCTTTGTTCAAAACTTAAAATAAATGTTTGTGGATTTCACCTTTTTCATATCAATTAATTTGTGATCGCATGTGTGTAGCATATGCTTTTCGTTCGTAATATTTAAACATGAATTATATATATTATTTTATATTTTCAATCTCATTTAGCTTTGTTGCATTTCGCCAATTTTAAGTATAGTCTCTAATTTATGTTACAATTTTTTAACCTCATTTTCATTTTATTTCAAGTTTCTTTAAAATAGCAATTATAATGTCCTATATTAAAATTTTGTTTCAAGTCTTGAAAGAATTTTTACAAGGGACATAATGTCTTCAGCCCCTTCTGGACTAACATTTTTTCCCCAGATGGATCATTTTGTCTAACATGGTTTTCATAGGACTGCAACCGTTGCTCTGAAGAGAGACACAAATTTATTAACAAAAATACCGTACTCCAAGGTAAATTCAAAAAGGGGAAGTCAATAAAACATGACACATTCAAACCTCCGACTATATCAACCAACGGCACGACTGTAAACAACTGTCATCTTCATACATTGTGATCTGTTGTTATCAGCGAAAATTCGAATATCAAATACTGATCTTCTTATACACAAATTATATTTAAATACATTATACTTTGAAACATCACGTCTTGCTTTACACAATACTTTATTACACACCTATAATCTGCAATTTAACCTTCAATGAATTAAATCGCATACCTTTCTTTGAATAAGTTTTAGATGTTTAAAATTATGTGGTTATACAATCTAAAACTCAAATACCCAAACATTTTTTTTAAACATGAAAAGTTGATTACCTTCTGACCTGGCTGTTTAGTTTACTTTCAAAACCATAATTATTTTTAACATGTACCTACCTTTCTTTAGTCTCGCACACTCTGCGTGTACACAAGCTGAAACAAGGGATTATATCGGTAAAAACCATTATGTAACTCAGTTTAGTACGTTATAATTATACTAACCATCACAAGAAACGCACCACTTTGGATAGTTCGATATTTTATACACAGCTGTACAATAATAAGATCATTTCTACGGAAATAAATTCACTTCTCTTACTTTTGTGTCTATCTTACAGGGCACATTTTTGTTGTTAGGGATGAGGGATTGATAAATACCCTGCCACGTCCGGTCTATGTTTTAGTTTGATGTTTTTCTGCTTTGTATCGATCTGACGAGTTAATAGAATAAGATATAAGAAGATGTGGTATGAGTGCCAATGAGACAACTCTCCATCCAAGTCAAAATTTATAAAAGTAAACCATTATAGGTCAAAGTACGGTCTTCAACACGGAGCCTTGAACACTGTGCGGGACAAATTTGCAATTCCAGAATTGGCAAATCTGACTTTGTCGGTTTACAAGATATCAAAAATATTTTTTGCCCAAGTGATAGATAATCAAATAAATTAAATTTTCCCATATGTCCCAACATGTCACCGTTGTCACTGTTGTCACCACAGCTGATTAAAAGTACATTTCCCATGGGAAATTTAAAAATTCCCAAGGGAATATTCGAAGTTCCCATCGGAAAAAGTACTTTTCCCATGGGAATTTTAAAGTTCCCATCGGAACTTAAAAGTTCCCATGGGAAAAGAAGAATACAGAGAGTTCCCATGGGAATTTAACTTTTCCGATGGGAACAGTTTATCTTCTAATGGGAACAATTTTTCTTCCCATGGGAACAATTTTCCTTCCCATGGGAACAATTTTTCTTTCCATCGGAAAATTTGTCTACCTATGGGAACAATTTTTCTTCTCATTGAAACAGATATTTTATGTATGGAACATGTTTTCCGTTTGATTATTTTTCTCCTAGAAAAATAAAAATTTGTTGAAAATGCAGGATTTATGTTAAATTATTGCAGTATGCAGGTTTTCTACAAAATGTCAATATGGTTTCATATCTAAAGCTGCTCTCAACATGCAACTTCCATAAAAACTCTGATTATCTACTTAAATATGAAGCAATGGCAAGTAAGTTTTTTAATAAGTTGTGCGTGTGTGTTGTGAATACAAATTCCTATTATTGAACTTATTGGAAAATAGATAATAAATGTTAAACAACTTTTTTCCGGTGCTTAGAAATACCCCATTTAAAATTTTTTATTTTGCAAAATACAAGACCCATAAAACAAAAACACTATAACCATGATAACATGCTGAGATAATATATTCATTTACAATCTGTATACACGTGCGTAATAAACGGGTTCTGGTTGAATGAACATGAATTTCGATCGATTACACACAGATGACGATCAATAGTTTAAACACATTTTATTTTCAAAAGTAGCATATGGGATTGAACACAAAATACATAAGATAATAACGAAAAACAAAATAGAAATACATGTAATACAAACTATAAACAAAAACGAAAATGCAATATAATATTTTTGTAATATGAACTGGCGTGAAAAGTAGGAATTCAGAATTTTAATTGTATGCGAAGTTCTGAATCTTTGTGTAATTCTGATATAAGATTGCACAGATTCAAAAATTGCTTTACTTTGCTGAAATGTATAAAGTTCACCGTGAACAGCCAATATAAGCTCAATTGGTATAACATATCGTTTTAAAATCAAAAACAATATTTCTCTTGCTTTATTGTGAAATGGGCACTCGAAAAAATTGTAAATACAATCCTCAACAGCATGGCTACAGCTGCATGCGGGATTTAGTTTAATATTAACACAGATCTGCATTTAAGGAGCGTCACATACTTCTGAACCATGAATGATATTAAGTTATCTAACACCACAACTAAAGAAGAAGGGTGGCTGTTTTTTGTTTTAAGAAAGTACATATGTCGGGGTTTAAAATTCCATTCAATAGAAGTAGATGGGAAAAAAAGATGTTTTGGTTATTTCTAGTCTATGACGCGGGGTACTACATAGTTGTTACTAATTCGTAAATCATAATTTGAATTTGACCAATACTGATTGGGAGCATTAAATCGCAGAGATAATCAAGGGCAGTCTCTTTATGTAAAGAATATAACACAATGAGCTTTCTTGACTTTCTTCTGTCTGCTAGCAATTTCCGGCCTATTTCGAGGTGTCAGACCACCAATTAAAAATCCCATTTGTTCAACCAAATTTTTCAATTTTCACAGCTTTCTAAATATTTTACCTTAAGTTTAACTTCAAAGAAAACAGGTATATCCTGAATTGTACATGTATCACCTTTCTACATGCCATAAAGGTTAAGTTTATACGATCAAGTTCATTTCTTTATAATGCATATCTCAAGTTTTCAAGTAAATATAGGGGAATTAATTGAGAGCAATTTCTTTTATGGATTCTCTCATATATAGTTAGAAACCCTAATTAACTAGCGGTGTTCCGTGTAAAATTGTTTCCAATATTTTTTTTATCTGGGACTAATATACATTTATGAAATCTGTTTATGTCCCAGTATTTATATAATACCTTTATTTAATTCCTTAACTTGACCATCAGCATGGCTAAAGAAATTATTGCCAGAGGTACTGTGAGGTGACACTTCCAGGTATTCGATCAAGCGATTTCCTGTCGGGCTTAAAAACTCTTATTACACGTAATACAGGTTTACGCACCGCACCGCCTGCTGAGCAGTGTACGCGCGGACGGTAATTTGGAACTTTATTTTAAAAAATCATCTGATATAATATACATCATGTGTACATTGATATACTATATATTTGAAGTTACTAAACTCATACGTGTAGTCAATTTTACTACCAGTTGTTTATGAAATACAGTTCTCGTGCAATGAATGATATTTAATTCCAACCAAAGATTTGAGGAATTAACAATTTATTGAGATATTTTCCATCGGTTAAATTTGAAAAATGTAAGTTTGTACTACTTGTCAATAATAATGGATATTTCAAAACATTTAAATATTAATTCACAAAAATGAACGCACTTGCCGATCGTTGGTTTAGAAAGATAGAAAGATTCGGAACTAAAGATAGTCACAATTAAAAATATGTATTTTGAAAAAAAGACAAAAACCGTCAGAACAGATCTGATATAAATCCAGGGTCCGTATATGCATAATGGTACTTAAGTTAAGATTTGACCCGAACGGACGGATTTTTCTACATGTCAGTCTCCAATAAATGTATGCTATGATTGGATATTGTTTTATGCATAAATGTCCAGATCTATATAGAACTTACTTTGCTTCGTCGAAAGTACGAATATAGAAAAATCACAGATTTATATTTCAACTAGAACGTTCTAGAACAGTTAAAGAAATCATTACAGTTGTTAGTTATTTTGTACATGTATAACTATAATGCGAACCTTGTGAAATAGCACGTGAAATCCCAACTAAGCGTGAATTCTTTGGAAAAGCGACGGTTCTATTAATACATATTGTCAATTTCAAGTTCTGTTTCGACATGCATTGTAATATATGTCACTGGACGTTAAAATTCCATCATTAATTTCGTCTTCGTCAAATATTGCTGTTGGTTTCTTTTCTTTTTTTTTATTACATATACATGAATACGTCACAAGTTATTCCTATGTAATCTCATTTAGATATTTAATGCAAAGTAAATTTTAAAGATGAAAGTCGTATTAAATATTAGTTCGATATACTTCAAACTAAATATAAACTGAGAATATATGTATAACTGCCATATTTCGAATCCCGGACATTCATTTGTGTAAATGAAGAAAAGATAACATTGATCGGTATCTGAGTGAATCTACGTCTCAATCAAGCTTCATAAAGATAATAATTATTACAGAATATTCAAGATTTACAACTTTTCTTGAATATGATTGCCAATGAAATAAACTATGCAGGAGATTTCAAATTAGCCCAATTAATTTGTGTGTGTACTATAACAACTGAAACCGTAATTTTGCTGAAGTGCACGTCGATCGTATTTGTAACAGGAAGGCGTATGGTAATCATACTACCTTACTAAGTTCAAAAGTACATAACAACGTACCCTTTCTTTGTGCATTATACGCTCAGGAACATACATCTTACTATTTTGCATGGATTGGTAGCAAATGTTACTTTTCAACTGTAGTCCTTAACCAAAAGCGTTGTTTTTTTTCCATCTGACAAGCTTAATTTTGGATCAAGTGATCATACAAGTACGGAGGCTAGGATTTATAATTCGGCTAGTCTGGATGACTTCGTGCAATACCCCCGCTCCGTATTCATTATAGTTTTTACATAAATCATTTAAATTTTAGATCCTTCAGTTTGCATATAAATATGATATTTAAATTTCGTATGGCTTAGTACAACCTGCAAAACATTTTATTTGATGTCACCAATAGTAAACATATAAAATGAAACAATAACTTACTACTAGTATACCAATATAACCTTAATAATTCAGTCGTTATATTCCACTGCTCTACGATGGCTACATTAACTCGCGAGTGGGAGAGTCGATCACGGGGAGGGACTGAATTATTCGGGTTAATACCAATATAGACTTTTGTTGTATGATTATACAAACCGAAATCACTACTAGACGAGGGGTTGACACGCTCAAATTAACAAAATTGTGTTTCAAAGAACCAATGCACCAAATTGATTTTATAGGATTTAGTTTAACATTTTAACCTGTTCAAGGAATGTATAACTTGACAAGAACAATTTAAATGTAGGACAAAATCGGCTTACAACACGAATTTGTTCAAAGAATAGTACCAAGCATGTGACAAAATGACGGGTATGTAACAGAGGTATCGCAATTGTAGATGGATTGGTGGATAGTTACTGTTTGTTCAACGTTCAGTGACAAGTATCTCATGCATATTGCAAGACCAAACTAAGTTTAACTCAATTGCGATGTTCCGCTTCATTTTTGAACTCTGACCTTTTCAAAGCTAACATTATACTGGATCCTTCGTGTCAGTGTGGGTCTGATATTGAGGATGTTCATCATTTTCTTTTAGTTTGCCCAAAA